TAATCTAAGTAAATAAGTTTGATTAAATAGAAACTTTTTTTTGCTCACTCTACCTATTTGGCTTGAATTGACAGCTATGACGTCAAAATATGGCGCCCAGTCGGTTCTTAGTTGAATCGCATTATAAAGTTATGAGTCGTTAACGTAGCAATAACGCAGTATATCAGAGTTTTGTATACGTGCAATTGATTCTCATCACTAATATTATTTATAATATTTATATTTTTTTTTTCACTATTTTTTATTACATTTTTTTACAATTAATTGATAACAATCCAACACAAATCAGCTTCAATTTGTATGAAAGTAAGTGATTTTTTCGGATACTTCTGTAATTTCATTTCAATGCCCGTTTTTGCGCTCATTAACGACTATTAACTTCAAAAGTATTTATTTAATAAAAAAAATATACAAAGCTTGTAGGGAACTCAATCACGAATAACTTGTATACGACGTTTTTTATCAATTAATGACATTTTTAAGGTTTTATAAAGGAAAAAATACAAACATGTGCAAATAAACAACAACAATTGAAAAACGGTAAGAGTTACAATAAAAAGATTGAGAGAAAGAAGTTAGAGAATTTAGTAATAAACAAAAAAACACTACTTTTTTTCCGTACAGTCAATAATTTAGGAGATATAGCTATAAACGCGTTTTCCAATAAAGCGGCCAGTTGTGACCACCCTACATTCCCCGATTTAAACTTAAGCTTCTTACAATCTATCCTTATGTCTGTAAAAAAAAGCTAGAGTACGGTAAAATGTTGCATTTCGATCAAGTATAACAAGTATAAGCTCGTGGGCGGCCAAAGTACATATTGGCCCAACATAATAATATATTTAGAATAGAAATTCACAGTTCTATTTATTTTATATTGAAACAAAATTTTAATGGCAACCCCGAAAATACTGAAACTATACCGACCATAAGTTCAATGAATTCGATTGCAACGGAAACTGTAAGTTTTTCATATTGTTATTGGAAGTAGACAATGAAAAAAGAAATTAAATTTATAACAATAAATTTATTATTATTTAAATTTATAATAATAAATTAATTTATACAGCAAAAAATGCTGTTGGATTGGAAATCGAAGCCGAGGAACAAAGGGAAGCGTCAAACTCAAATGTAAATATTTTATCTGTTTTATACTGACTTAATGGGTATTTCACTACTACACTAGGTACTTAGTACCAAGAAAACCAAACTGCTAACATTGTAAACTTACAATGTTAGCAGTTTGGTTTTTTATTTTAAACTCAAACTAATGGGATGCATTGCTAGAGCAAAAAAGTTTATTTTTAATATTTTATATTAGACTTCTTTGCTCCATAAGTTCAATTGACAGTAACTTACTGATTTACGTACCATATCTGTGTCTGGATTGGAAATGTATTTTCAGTATTTCCTATATCTGTTTATTAAATGAACTATGAAGGCAAAGACAAAACTACACTTAGTACAGTTTTGCTGAGATATTTGATTATTACCAAACATCAATCATCATTAAAAAAGTCAATACTAAAAAACACAAGTAAATAAAATATTATTTCTCATTGCCACTCGAAAAAGGGATTTCATTCAGCGATAACAGTGAACAAACTTTTCATTTAATTACTGATTGAATAAAAAAAATATGAACAAACAGAAGTTATGCAAAGCATACATATAAAGTTACAATAATTAGTAATAATCATAATTAATCTTTATTGTCATTTCCAAAACACAACCAATGGGTACTATTAATATATTATTTATTTTCTCACAATAGTAAAAAAACTTAATCCTTGTATCCTTTGCTCCACTCAGGATTCCTATCTAGAATCCTTAGTTGCTACAGTAGGGATCCATCTTAGCACTTCAAATTAACTTCATTTTATAATGGTATTTATTGTATAATCAATAATTGCATATTAAAGTATCAATTTGGTAAAGCGCGCTATACTAAACATCGTCGCGTCGATGTCTCGCTCGTGCGACTCGGACACGCTCGCGGCCGTATTTAGAATGTATTTAGAACAAGGACCCATTAATCGGATTAAAAGGTTAACCGGTAAGACCAAAACCCTGTATATTGATTAATCCTTATGCAGTAAACTGTTTATTGTAATATGGATTAATCCTAGGAATATTGCTGATTAACCCGTATGAAAGAGACTGTAGATGTAGACTAGCGTAGAGTACTTTCCATCTACGAGCTCCGCCATTCCGTGGCGTTGTAATTCAGAATTTCACCTCGATGGGATAGCGCGTGCGCATAAATTAATATTTGCTTATGATTTTATTTATTTTTTAAGCTTTTAACTGCTAGATGTTTAAATCTAAAGAAAGGTTTACTAGAAAAAAAAATATTTGCTTAATGAATGATACCATATTTTTATTAAATAATTGTGTAATTAGATTTAATAATAATTGTGATAAAATATCACAAGGAGGGTATAATGCGATATCACGTGTATTTATTTTTCGTTGAACCACTTTCTGAACCAAACAGCGGCGTCTGGCCTTGACTCACCGTTGCCAGGCAACGATTTTGAAATAATATTAAAAAACAATCTATTATGTATTAAAAATACACGTAATTTTGGGGTTGGGGGGGGGGGGGGGGGGGGGGGGGGGGGGGGAGGTTAGTCTCAAACCTCACCACATATCACTAGGGGGAGGGGAGGGGGTTAAAAGTTGCTAAAAGCATCAGGTGATATGGACGACCCCTAATGAAATGATTTTGTCGACGCAAAGAAAAATCGATCGTGTAGGGTAAAAGCCGGATAGTTGTACCACTTTTCAATAAAGTAGTGATGACTTACTAGTAGTGATGAATCATGTATACAGGTCCTTTATCTTTCAAAGTAGCCTATTTTTGTAAAGTTAGTTAATTAATATTGGTTTTTAGTAAAACCGGTTTTATTTGACCTCTCAAAAAAAATAGTGCGGGGAGTCCCTCCGTGCGGTAGAAGTGAAACTTCGTAATTCGGCTAATCATTCGTAGTATTAGTATCCCATAACACAATCCGTACAGTGCTTTCTTTGGGGCTAGGCTAATTGTTGTGAATGTTAAAAAAAAAAAATTATTTATTATTATATGTATTCTATACGTTACCCGAGTATCCCACAACTAGGCTAGGCTAAATGTTGTATGTGTTAAAAAAAATATTATTATTTAATATAGAGGACAATTTTACGATATTTAACGTTTTAAAAAGGATCTGTGGTATGGAATCTACGGAAAAATGTGAAAAGGCGATTAAAGGCACGAATAATGAAAGAAGTGAAACTAGCATTCACTTTGCTAAAATAATAGAAATAGAATTATCTTCAATGCCCAATAACAAAAGACTTGACTGCATGCAAGAGGTGCTTGGCGTAATGAAAAAATACACCAAGAATTAATAATTTTAATCATTTATTCCTGTTGTAGTTCAGTAACAATTATGTCTATTAAGTCGTTACATTATTAATTATATGATTGAATATTTTTTGTTAATTATCAATATTTACTTTCAAAAGCGATTATATTTCACAATATTTGAGTGTAGGTACTTCTCCAGAGACGTATTTTGATATAATTTGTTTTTAATTTAAATTAATTATCAATTAGAAAAAATTCCACGCGGACCAGGCAGCAGACGGGACTCGAACCCGCACCCTTCGCAATCCGGGCGAATGCACTGACCAATTATGCTACCGCGGCCCTCACGGACCGCGTCGAAATTCTTTCTAGCTATTCTTAAGCTGCAAGGCAGCGCCATCTCTTCGCATTATAGGTAAACCCACAATGTCAAATGAATACTTTTACAAGTATTAAACATTTGAAAGAAGAAATAGCAATTATAGTTATAATTTTTATTATTTTTTAAAGCATGTAACTGCTTGATGTTTAAATCTAAAGAAAATATAACTAGAAAAAATTCCACGCGGACCAGGCAGCAGACGGGACTCGAACCCGCACCCTTCGCAATCCGGGCGAATGCACTGACCAATTATGCTACCGCGGCCCTCACGGACCGCGTCGAAATTCTTTCTAGCTATTCTTAAGCTGCAAGGCAGCGCCATCTCTTCGCATTATAGGTAAACCCACAATGTCAAATGAATACTTTTACAAGTATTAAACATTTGAAAGAAAAAATAGCAATTATAGTTATAATTTTTATTATTTTTTAAAGCATGTAACTGCTTGATGTTTAAATCTAAAGAAAATATAACTAGAAAAAATTCCACGCGGACCAGGCAGCAGACGGGACTTGAACCCGCACCCTTCGCAATCCGGGCGAATGCACTGACCAATTATGCTACCGCGGCCCTCACGGACCGCGTCGAAATTCTTTCTAGCTATTCTTAAGCTGCAAGGCAGCGCCATCTCTTCGCATTATAGGTAAACCCAATTTTTTCTAGTTATATTTTCTTTAGATTTAAACATCAAGCAGTTACATGCTTTAAAAAATAATAAAAATTATAACTATAATTGCTATTTCTTCTTTCAAATGTTTAATACTTGTAAAAGTATTCATTTGACATTGTGGGTTTACCTATAATGCGAAGAGATGGCGCTGCCTTGCAGCTTAAGAATAGCTAGAAAGAATTTCGACGCGGTCCGTGAGGGCCGCGGTAGCATAATTGGTCAGTGCATTCGCCCGGATTGCGAAGGGTGCGGGTTCGAGTCCCGTCTGCTGCCTGGTCCGCGTGGAATTTTTTCTAGTTATATTTTCTTAAGATTTAAACATCAAGCAGTTACATGCTTTAAAAAATAATAAAAATTATAATTATCAATTACTAATGCTTCCTATTTTTTAATCTCTAGCATTTTGACGTGCTTAAATACATAACTCTTACACATTGCTGGATAGATTTAGTAAAAAATTAAGTAAGAATCAGTTAACTGTGATGATAGCACATGCAGGTCAGAATTTAATATAATATGTTAAACTATCAACAATTTCTTTAATTTCAACTACCTACATGTTACTTCAAAATAGAAACTACGTGTTTGTATTTTGAAACATTTATAAAATTAATTAATGTTTCAAAATACGAACGTAGTTTTCAATTACATAAATAGATCGTGATTACTTCGTATGACCATAATATTTGCTAAAGTAGTTTGACTTAAGTTAGATCTGAGCGGTGATAAAATATATTTAACCGAGGAGAAAAGCCTTTCAACAGATACTTGCGTAGCAGGAGTAGCAAGAACACAAAGAGCTAATTCTGCCACTTCTGGTGACGATAATTTACTGTTCCAATATTTAATAATATTTTCTTTAATGGGCAATCTTGGGAGATTGCGAATTTCTCTCAACAAAACATTGGTTGAATTGGTTTCTTGTACTATGCCTCTTTGTTGTTCAGTACTTCTTAGTATTTCTTCAGCGTAAGATAATATGTTGGCTTCTTCGACCGCAGAGTTTTGATTTTGTATACCACTACCGCCAGCCATAGGTTCATCAATTGAATTGAATGATGAGACCATAATATTATCCGAGTTCGAGTCACTGTCTTTCAATTTAAGTTTATTAATTTGATTCAAAGTTTCTTTTAAAAGCTGTCGAGCTTTAGCAGCTTCTTGATCCGATAGGATAACATTAAGCCTTGTGTCTAAATAAAGGGCTTCCAACATAACGTTAGTATTTAGAAGATTTACTTCCCGTGTCTTCATACAGTCTAACAAACTCTGGCTTATCGGTGTTCTGCGCTTTTCTAAATTACCTTTGCATGTCAACCACTCTATGAAAAAATCACCCAGTGTCAATTGTTCTTTTTGCAGTTTTAATGTTGCTATAAAACAAGGTTTTAGACAATCAATTAGATCTGTAATTGTTTGCCAATTCGATTCATCTAATCTTGACATGATATTTGCATCATTAAGACATACAGTTTTTAATGACTGCATCCTTAATAACATGTTGTAAGTAGAAGACCATCGTGTAGGACAATCAATAATAGGCTTCTTCAAGTTGGCTCTTTTCAAAATATTTCTAATAGTCGGTGTTCTTAACAATTTGACTACTTGTCGCACACGAAATATTAAATTGTCAACATCTGGATTCGATTCAAAAAAATCTTTAATAGCTAACTGAAGCGTATGTGCAGCGCACAGCATTGTTCTCGGTAAAAAATTGGATCTGGAGTAGTTTTCATTTTCATTTAAAGCTGTCATTAGGCTGTCGATTGGAATCTCATGATTTATATCATTTGCATTATCTTCGTCTTCCTCGTCTGTTTCACTGTCTGTATTATATTGTCCAGATTCTTGGTCAATATCAATGGGCTCGTATGAACCACCTAACAGCTTTGCCATTTTTTTAAAATTCTTTCCATTGTCGGTAGTTATACAATAAATTTGTGATGCGTCAATTTGATAATCATTTAAAACATCTAAAAGAGTCTTCTTCAGAAATTCCCCTGTCTGGCGCTCAAATACTTCCTGTGCAGCTAAAGTACGTATTTTAACAATTTCATTTTGTATGTATTGTACATTAATGCCAAGAAATGATCTGTCTTGATAGGTCGCAGAATCTAATTTTACACATAATAATTTTCGTCTTAATTCCGTAGCAATCTTTAATTTAATTTCATAACTTTTGTCTGCAATCATCGATTTTATTGATTGGATATTTATAAATTTATTAGTCGGTACGACCATATTAATAATTTTTTGAAACGCTGCATCCTCTAATAATTGAAAGGGTCTACCATGAATAGTGACAAGTTTTACGCAATTTGTTTTAATTTCAGATATTAAGTCGTCGTTTCTTTTTTGCGAGACGTTTTGTTCACGTTGTGTATTATTAATTATTAAAATATCATCAAATTTATTTTTATGTTTGACAGACATGTGATTTTTTAAGTTGGTCGCATGTTGCCCCTGAAACAAAATATATATAAATTATTAAAAAATGACCCACATAAGTGCATTAAATATTGAAGATAGAATGTTTAACTTTTTTTTTAAACATAATAGCTATGAATGTAATATTAGTGATTTTCAAAGGATAAAATCAGTCTATCATTAGTGACACCTTGTATTAGATGCCCTTATATTAATTATATATGAATCCAGCCTCAAATCATCTAAAGTTGCATCTTATTAGGTGTTAAGAACAGTTTGGTTTACACCGCGTATTGACATCGTGCGAGGGGCTTGATAAATATTAAAAAATAAAAATCTGTTTCTGCAATCACATCAATGATATAGCTCTAGAGCTTGCAGGTGTCTAGACATACTTAAATTTATTTTAATATAGCATCCATGGCTCATTTTCCCCTTGCGGGGTTCGAACCCACAACCACAAGTTTTATAATCCGGAGCGCCAACCACTAGACTATATGGCTGTAAAAAACCGTACAGTCGTAAAAATGTTATAAATGTGAGTACTATAAGCATTAATAACTATCAATAAATTAATCAAGTTCTTGGACTAAAAGAAGTCATACTGAGTTTGATTATAAAAATTAAATCAAAGCATACTGAATTATTTACTAAGTAATTATAATACAAAGTAAAATAACTAGGTAGGTAGGATAAAAGCCGGATACTCGCCGTCTTGACAGACAGACAGACGGAGAACAAAGAGATCCTATAAGGGTTCCGTTTTTTCTTTTTTAGGTACGGAACCCTAAAACATCGTAAGTGGTCTATCCCCACGAGAGGCAAGTATCCCTCGAATATTTTTTTACGTTACGCTGGCTGCTATCCGCTTTAGTAGGCTACTTCTGAAAGGATTCTCTAAACTTTAATCTAAATTTAACATCAGTCCGTCCTTTTCATTCTGTATAGAGAATGACAGGGATACACTGTTGTCAAATTTAAGTTTAGCTTTAGAGAATCCTGCCAGAATCGACACCACTATCCCTTTTTTGAGAGGTCTAATAAAACCGGATTTACTCAAAACCATATTAATGAAGTTACAAAAATAGGCTAATATGAAAGATCAAGGACCGTTGTATTGATATACACGATACATCACTTCTAGTAAGTACATATTTTTGAACAATAGAGCTTTATTAAAAAGTGGGGTATCTATCCGGCTTTTACCCTACTATTACAGCTATATGAAGCAAAAAACGGGTCAACCTCGGAATGAGAGGTAATAAGCTGAAAATTTGTAAGGACCTTTGTTTTGGCATTCTTAATGATGTGTCAAAAGTCTCATTTATAATCTCATCAGGGCCGTGCCTGACGGGCGTTCATTGCGTGCACCGCACGCAGGCGGCCGAAATTAAGAGGCGGCCTAATCGTTACAAGTTGTTTACTGGGCAAAAATACAATCGGTTTGTTTTCATTATTATTCCTTGTTCTTTATGTTTGATAATTTTGTCTGTGATTATAAAACCAATACCATAATTTTTTGACGTGACAATTTCTTAAATTAGGTTGCGGCTGGGAGTCACTTATGAAAAAGTGTAACGCTCGGTAACGTTACGATGAGTCTCTCGTGTTAAGTTTAAGTTTACATGTACAATGTTTTAGTAAACAAAATATATTTCTATAGTTAAAATTTGTGCAATTCTTATTTTCATTCAATTCCTTGTTCCTATTGTGCAATTTAATTATATTCATATCAATAAATATTCTACCGAGAAAAAGACGTTGTCACTTTACAGGCAACCATTTTTTTTTTACAACTTAAAAGATTATTTATATAAAATATATAATTGTTTAAGTTGTATGTAGGTTATTTTTTTAAAAGAGAAGGAGAGTAAAATTTTTATTTACATTTTCTTGCTTAATTGTAGATTGTTTACTTTTAACAACTTGAAAGCATTATTTTATTTATTATGAACTCACAGTTTAAGGTTTAAATACAATAAATAGCTGTTAGCGTAGTGCACGATCAGTCAGTCTTCTACGATAAAATATTTATTTTCTAAGTTATTGGGACACCACGCAGTTTAGCACAGGTCTTCCGAAGGTGCATATTTGTTTTTACAGTACTGATAACTAAAAACCTAAAAAACATACAAAAAAATCAGCAAAGTGCAATTAATTGCAACCTACGTTATCTTGTATGACTGGCCTAAAATCAGGTTGGGGTAGAAAAATTTCTGCGCCTTGTATAGAAAAAATTAAAAAAAGCGAAAAAATGAAGGAGACAAAAAAAAAAACGTTTGTGTCGTAGTTAGAAAAAAAGTTTATTCATATATATGCGCGTTGCTAGCTTTTTACATTTTAACACGCTCCAATGATTTTTCAAGACAAAATTCTAAGAAGTTGGATGCGGAGCAGGGCTCAATTTATTTAGATTTTAAACAATGGCCGCTAGAACGTTCTACACATCAAATTAAACACAAATTCAATGTAAGGAGGTCGCTACAGAATAATACTTTATCCTTGTTTAGTCTACATATTGTGATAGAATTGTTTTTCCAACTATTGCTGTCAAGGATTGATTTTTAAAGTAAGCGAATTGAATAAGCAATTATCCCTGTATCAATCAACTCATCGGTTACTCGAGTATGTATTACATACTAATCGATTTTATCCATTGCTTGCATATCGTATCCAAAGGCTGTTATATCGAGGTCAAATTGTAAATTGAGCCCTAATCAAATGTAGATGACACCGATGACCCATTTTGACGTGACAACGTCTTAAATTAGGTTGCGGCTGGGAGTCACTTATGAAAAAGTGTAACGCTCGGTAACGTTACGATGAGTTTAAGTTTACATGTACAATGTTTTAGTAAACAAAATATATTTCTATAGTTAAAATTTGTGCAATTCTTATTTTCATTCAATTCCTTGTTCCTATTGTGCAATTTAATTATATTCATATCAATAAATATTCTACCGAGAAAAAGACGTTGTCACGTAAAATCTTCGCCCGTAAAACCGACTTTACAGGCAACCATTTTTTTTATTTATATTTGTACTTAGTAAGCGTTTGGTTAAACCATCTGCATTTATGTATTTGAAATGTCACCAACCCATAAGTAGGTACTTTACGCATGTATAGTGCATGCGTTAAGCAAATGTGACCTCTATTAGATTATATTTAAACTATATAATTAAGTTGGAGAATTAACAATATATACATATTATATTCTTAATTAATAGGCAAGAAGTTGAAAAAAATAACAATTTTGGACAACAACCACTATTTTAATAAATGTGTACTTTGGCATAAGAAGAAATCTTCACTTTTACATTGAAACATTATTTATTAATAAAACATATTTCAATTGCTTAATTTTTTTGTTAAAAAAAATACAAAATTAACTTTTCAACAAACATAAGAAACGACCTCCTTCCTCGAGAGCGTAAACTCAAATGAGCTCTTTTCCGCAGGCCACTTCAAATCCCCTCCCCACCATCCGTGAGCAGTAGCAGCGGCAGCAGCAGCAGCAACTGCAGCGCCCCCCGCGCGGGCACGCGGGAGGTGCACAACAAACTAGAGAAGAACCGCCGAGCACATCTCAAGGAATGCTTCGAACTATTGAAGAGACATTTGCCGGCGACGCCAGATGACAAGAAGACTTCCAATTTGTCGATACTGGGGTCCGCTATTAGGTATATACAGGTGAGTTATATTTATTATTAACATGAAACGTAATATATATAGTATTACTAGCTGTCCCAACCAACTTTGTACCATAAAAAATAGAAGTTGGTGGTAGAAGGGTGAAAATTTAGGGTTGTATGTATTTATGTATGATGTACCATAAAAAAATAAAAACAAATTTTGTCCATAAATATTTAGGGGGATGAAAAATAGATATTGTCCGATTCTCAGACCTACTGAATATGCATATAAAATTTCACGAAAATCGGTCGAGCCGTTTCGGAGGAGTTCATTTACGAACACCGTGACACGATAATTTTATATATTAGATTATATTCTATTACTATCTATATATATCTGGCAAATAAATAGGTATTACTAATTATTACTGATATAATTTTGAAATATCAAATTGTAATAGGCACTTGTCCTAACGCCGACTATGACTACGAGAAGCGAGTAGAGCTAGAAACGAGTGTTTTTTTTTGAGTGTGTATGCTGTTGGCCGCAGATGATCTTTACAGCGTCACCGGGTTTGGGGACGGAGAGATCCTTAGGGGACCTCAAGCCGAGAAATTGCGAGTGCCTCTAGGTAGGTAGGATAGGTATTCCAGGCGGATGGCATTTCCTATCCGTCTGGAGCCTCTAGACCACTCGAACCTGAGGGGGTCGTCTCAACTAGAGGGCGTCTCTGAGATTCGAACCTAGCTTGCGATTACTCGCCCCACTCGTTCGTGGAATCAGTTTAACGAAAATGCACGCGCGCGCATTCCTTGATAGCTCTTTTCGCTCAGCGATAAACTAGTGGAGCGCGTTCTTGCCAGCAGGTTGAACAATCAGTAATCAACTATTTATATAAGCTTCTTTTTTGTTTATATGGAATGCATATCTATTGTACGTTTCTTGAGCGAGAAAACAGCCATTAGTTAATCGCTTTCTCGCCGGCGTAAACGTTTTATGGTTCTCTTGCGAAAGAAAGTTATTTTGTTTTTCTTACTTAGATGCTTATGTAAAAGGCAGTACTTGTGACATAAACGTCCTGTGAATGTCACAGGACGTTTATAAATATACAGGGTGGTCCAACTAGTGACGTCAACAATTTTTTTAGATTCCTCGCACCTGGGGGTATCTGAAAACACCCCATGTGTATTTTTAATGATTTCTGCCAGCGAGGTTTCAAAAATTCTTATCTTTTTTCGTAGTAGGTGTTTTGTAGTCTTTTTTTTGTGGCATAATTGTCTTGAATGTTGCTTTAATTAAAAAATAACTCAATTTCCTGCAATTACTTAAAGTTACTCAAAAAAGGCTTGAAAGTTGGATCTTTAGTTTTTAGTAGGATTTACCCAAACGTTCAACTTCAGAAG